TAGTTATGCAATTACCCTTTCCCGAGCATACCTCGGCTCGGCATCATCAACGGGCAGCTTTGCGACAGGCCACTCATGGGCATACCTTGGCTCGACATCATCGACAAACAGTTATGCGGGTGGCCTCTCCCGAGCATACATTGGCTTGACCGCCAACACTGGAAAACACACAAGCGACTGGCCTTCCCGGAACATATCTCGGCTTACCAGTAAAGGAGACGCTCAATCAAGAAACGACGAGACTGACCTTCCTCTGTTTTATTTTGAGGTACCGGTGTACTCTTTTTCCTTCACTAGGATTTTTTCCCACCGGGTTTTTTCCTAGTAAGGTTTTAACGAGGCATCCCCTCATCATGAACAAAGGAGGAGGTCTTCCCGGTTGGAGCAAAGAAGACCCCGGGCAGCTGGCCAGATAACCAGGACCCCGGGATGCTACCCAGACAAGGAGGGTCTCATCCTTGCGCAACACTATGGGATCACAGCGGACGGTTACATGACTAACCTTTCCAGGCATACCGCAGATCGTCATCATCAACAATCATCTGTGTAACTAGCTAGCTTGGCAACCGGGCCGATTTCAAAGCAGCTCAACTACTCCCTTTTAGCCGAGTCTACTACTCGACTAAGGGAGTGGGGGACTCGTGTTGGGATGATATCCCAGGCCCAGTGCCATCGGCCTGTTATCCCCGAGCTTTGGCCCAACTAGGCCCAAGACGCAGTCTCACGAGCGGGAATCTCCCCTTGCTCATTTATTTATTTATTGGGCCGGTTCGCCCATTAGCTTGGACATGTATTATGTATTTGGGCCAAGCCCACGTAGGTTAGACTTTGGACTTGTGATGGATGCCTATAAATAGGCCATCACCCCCCTTGTATTCGAGACGCTATTTTACTATACTGAAATGCTGCTAGTTTCTCTACCCGAGATATTTTCTACCAACAAAAGTAATCCCGGAATGGACCACTGGAAAGCTGCAAAGAATGTTTTGAGGTACTTGCAAGGCACCAAAGATCACATGCTTACATTTAGAAGATCCGATCATCTTGAGGTGATTGGATATTCAGATTCAGACTTTGCTGGATGTGTCGATAGTAGAAAGTCAACATGTGGTTATCTGTTCATATTGGTTGAAGGAGCAGTATCTTGGAAGAGCAGTAAACATACAGTTATTGCTACTTCCACTATGGAGGCAGAATTTGTGGCATGCTTTGAGGCCACTGTTCATGGTTTAATTTGTGGCTGCGGAACTTTGTTTCAGGACTTAGAATTGTCGGATTTGTCGACACTATAGCTAAGCCGCTGAAAATTTATTGTGATAATTCCGCAACAGTCTTCTTCACGAAGAATGATAGGTACACTAAAGGTGCTAAGCACATAGATTTGTGCATAATTTCTTTAGTCATAGATTTGTGATAATTCCTTTAGTCAGCGGATCCACAACCATTTTTCCTTTACTTATAATAAGTACTTAAAAGGAAATAGCTTATCTAAAAATCAATCAAACCAAAGCAACAAACATGTCTCAAGACCTAGATCTCCTTCTCTCCAACCAATACCAAAGCCCATCAATCCCCTCACGTCATGATCACATATAGAATAGTCCACCCCGAAAAGACCGAGACTAATCGTTGAAACGGTGAGAGAAAAGAGGCTATTAACGGCTGATTCAGCCTGATTGCCTCCAATAAGAATTCAACCTACCAAACAAAAGCAACATACATACCCCCATTGTACGACAAAAAACAACACAATTAACAATCAAGTTCAGTTTGAAAAGAAAGATGCAAAAATAAGTAAAAGTTCAATCGATGGAATTCTCCTGCTTTTACTCTTGAATCCTCCTAATTCTATGGTGGCGGTTGGGGGGGAATTGATAATACTTCATCTTCTTCCTCACCTTTTTTTGTACATCACGAACTTTGCTATGCCTTACCATTTGACACCGAGTAAATGCCGTTCTCAAGCCAAACTGCCGTAAGTCTTCTTAAAGCTTGTCTCCATCCTCACAAATCACAACACCACTGCAGTCTGCTTTCCACCAACAACATTCAACTACTTGCTCCTGGGACCAACTGTCGACAAGTCAAGATCGACTCTCGCTGCTCCTTCCACCCTCTCTCAGTCGTGCCCCTGCCAGAGACTTCTTTCACGCTAACTAACTAATTGACCGGTGCCTGCTACAACTTGGGTGAAAACACATGATCTTCTCGTCGCTGCAACTGCTTTCACGCCAACAAGACCCCGACCTCCTCTCCTCCAGCCAAAACGCCGACTACGTAATCAGATCGTCGAGATCCCCTTCAACCCCCTGCCTCAATCGTTCACCAGCAAAATCGGCCACCGACGAACTGGATTCGAAGCCGTTGCGGCCCCCTTCAACCCTAGACAATCGCTAGGTTCAGTCCGCTATTAGGGTTCCCAAATTTTGTGCTTGTTTGAGACGTGATACAGTTTAGGTAAAGACAATGATTAACATATAAAGTCTTAAATTTTCATTTGGGAAAATTCCCGAAATAGGAGTTAAAACGTTTTGAAAATTTGAAAATAGGACTGTATGTTTTATTTTATAAGTAGAAGTAATTACTGTCACGTTTGAAAAATAGTATCATGTTTGAACTCTGGCACTGATATGGCTTGGATTGGATCACAATTGATATGGTTATTTGAAGTCTGGTACTACCAAAAAATGGAATGAGAGTATATCTTTAGAGAGGGCAAAGTGGAGGGCGCACATTCGATCTTGTGGACGATTGATCTCTTTTATATTTTTCCTCTTTTTTTTCTTTTATTGTTTATGTTCTTTGTCTTTTTATGTTCTTATGTTATTTTTTATCTTCTAACTTTTTATGCTCTTTTATGCTTTTATCTTTTATCTTTCTTATATTCTTATGTTATTGTTATCTTATATTTATGACAAAATTCACAAGAATAATCCGTACTTTTATGGATTCTACAATAATAATCCGTACTTAGAGTGTCTATAAATATAATCCATACTAGCAATAGTGTCCATAAGAATAAATTAAAATTAATTCAAACTAATTCTCATTTAATATTCTCAATCCCTACTTTCACTTTCACATTCATCACTTTTCGTCTCGAAAAAAAAGAGAAAAGTGGGAGTAAGTGTTGGAAGTATTAAACGGACATTAATTTGAATTCACTTAATTTATTCTTATGAACATTATTGGATTGGTAGTTCGGATTATTTTTATGGACACTCTCAGTATGGATTATTATTGTAGAATCCCTAAAAGTACGGATTATTCTTGTGAATTTTGCCAATATTTATTTATCTTTATCTTATTCATTTTATCTTTTTTTTCTTGTTCTTGTTTGTTCTTCTCTTTTTGACATTGATATCATGGATCGATTCATGTTAGTCGACCCCAAAATTTTTTGGGATTAAGGCTTGGTTGTTGTTGTTGTTGTTTGAAGTCTAGTACTGCCAAAAATTGACAATAATTACTCATATTTTGAGAATAAAAATATAGCAATCCTTTTTTGGAATTAAAAGTTTTCACTCTTATTTAAGGCAGTTTCCCTTTTCAATTTTACTTTGTTACATTGAACTTTTAGATTCAACTACTACACTTTTTCAAAATGAGGTAGAAAATATAGAAATTACTTCAAATAAGACTAAAACTATGGCAAAAACTCAAAATAGGACTTCCTATGTTTTTATTCCAAAATAGGACCATAGTGGTCCTATTAGAAACATACTCATTTCTTCCTTCCATTCTTACCCCTCCTTTAAATATTAGTAAAAGATAGCTAAAAGTCATAATTAAATGTTTAATTCATAATAAATCCGAAAAAATTTCAATAATTCGTAGAAAAATAATAAAAAAAATTAATAAATTTTTTATAAAATAAAAAATAAGAAAAACTTTTTTTTGAAAATTAATAAAAAATAGTAAAACTCCATAAAAAAATTAAAAAAAAATATGGATACCTTTCCCACCGCCTGTACTACCTCCCTGAACCACCACCTCCGATCGGTGTAAAAAATGCCACTTTTTTTTTAAATTCCACAAAAATGGCATATTTCTCTATGAGAATGCCAACATTTTCATTTTGCCAACTTGAATCCTTTTGACTTTTGCCAAAAATATGGCATTCATAATTTTTTTGGCATTATTTTACCCCGGTGACAGGAGGTGGTGGTACCGCCTCCCTGCACCACCACCTCCGACCGTTCAAAAAAAATGTCATATTTCCTACAAACTTCCATTTTTTTCGGAAAATGCCAAAAATATGGCATATTTCTCTTTGACAATGCCAACATTTTTTTCTGTCATCTCAAATCATTATGAATTATGCCAAAAATATGGAATTCATAATAAATTTGGCATTTTTTCCCCAAATGACTAGAGGTGGTGGTGCTGGGGCGGCAGAGGCGGCGGTGACAAATAAAATTTGATTTTTTTTTAATTTATTTTTATTTTTTATTTTTTTTTTGATTTTTTTTTTTAAATTTATTATTATTCAAAATATTTTTATTAATTTTTTGGTGTATTTTACGAATTTTTATTATTTTTTATTATTTTATTATGAATTAAAACATTCCAATAGGTATGAGGGTATATTTGTCCAAGACACACATAATTAGTCCTATGGAAACATAGTTTATTTTTTGGTGCTATTTGTGCAAAGTGAATGACTTTTAGTCCTATTTTGATCATTAACTCTAGAAAATACCCTCATCTAGTCTGGTGCACTTGACATTCTAGATTCAAATAGTGCACTTTTTCAATGTAGTAAAATCATTGGTATTTTTACATGAAGACTCATCTTTATTTGACCTATATATATACACACACTAGGCAAGGCATGATATAATGATGCAATGCATAGCATGCTATTGAGTGTAATCATGATAAAGCTTTGATGCATGCGGCGAATCAAGCTGCCCCAAATTAAGTAAAAAGTAAGGCCGGTATTTTGAATATATAATGGGGGAGAAGAAAAAGAAGGATATGCCCAGTTCCACGGTTTGGTTTTCGTTGAAGAGATCTATGCAGTGCAAGTCATTAGAGGCATCAGAAGTGGGGGACCCGAAGAGCAGCTGGAAAGCGGCGGCGAGCGGCGGGGGTGAAGGAGGGAGGTCCGGTTGCTCTCGCTCAATATCAAACCTCAAAGATGTGGTCATCCACGGAAGCAGGAGGCACTTGGAAAAGGCAGGCAGCTGCAGCCCAAGGTCCATTGGGAGCAGTGACTTCCTCACCCATCAACTTGTTCTGCATAATAGCTCCACCAGCAGCAGGTGTGAACTCAGAATCACACGATTTGCAAGCGGCGGGGGTGGCGGCTCGTTAGTGGGTACTCTTAGACCCGGTACTCCTGGCCCTGCCCCGACCGCAGGAGGAAATCATCATCACCATCATCATCATCATCGTGCATCATCAGCTCATCACTATTTGAACTCTTCTTCCCTTACTAGGAACAGAACCACACCTTCAAGGGGGAGGAGGGCTTCATCATCATCATCATCATTTTCCCATTTGGGGGAAAAAAGCCAAGGCCTTGGGTTGTCTTCAAAACTAAGGGCTGCTTCTCTTTCCCTTGACAGAGATGTAAGTATCAATAATGGATCATCTTCATCAGTTACATGCCACAAGTGTGGAAAACAGTTTAGTAAATGGGAAGCTCTTGAACTCCATCATCTTTCCCATCATGCAGGTAATTAATTACTTAACCCTCATATCATCTCACCTCCTTGAATTGCTAAATGCTAAGCTACCTTAATTGCTTATGCCGCATCTTCTCTTCATTTCCTACCATTTCTTCCACATTCTACCTCCCTCCATCTTAAATTATTGTCATTAAATTAGTTAGAGTACGTTCTTCAAAAGGGACTAAATCAAACTTTAATTGCCAAAATAGAACCCTAACTTATAAATTCCCTAAATAGGACTAGCTTTCCAATTATAATCTTACTTTGTTTTAATACAACTCATATTTCATTTATAATTAAAATATAAAAGTAATAACATAATTTTATTTATAATAAAAATGTAAAAAAAGTAAAAATACAAAATAAATACTACGTATTAAATAAATATAAAAAAAAATCGAAAAAATAAAAAATTACTACCTCCGTCCCAGGAAGAAGTTCCCAATTTCCTTTTTGGCAGTCCCAACAAAAAGTTCCCATTTCCTTAAATAGAAAGTTATCCTACATAAAAACAGTGCCAAACAGTGCCAAACAATGCCAAACAGTGTCGAAACAGTGCCAAACAGTAAAATTTACCCCTCAGTAACTTTATTTCCTTAATATGTGTGAAAGTCAACCCGGGAACTTCTCCCTGGGACGGTGGGAGTATAAAATAAAAATCTTTAAAATTTACAAGGTTTCCATTTACTTTTTACAAGCCAAGGTTCAAATGAAAACTTTAATTTTTACAACGTTTGACTGATATATGGTCGGATGGATAACATTAGAACATCTCCAATGGTGCATGGTGCACATGTGGCATGAGAGAGATAGACGCAAAATTTTGATTTTATGACATTTCTCTCTCTGTCGTTCCACGGTCTTATGTGTTTTTGGTAAGTTTTTCTCTGCAATGTCAACTACAATGTCTACATCTAGACATTGTGCTTGACATTGTGAAGAAAAACTTACCAAAATGATATAAGATACTTCAAATAAGGAGGGAGATATTTTATTTATTGTTTTTTGATTGGCTATCTCTCATGCCACGTATGCACCGTTAACGTATTAGCATTGGAGATGCTCTTAGTTTGCCATTTACTTTTTACTATGCGATTAAATGTATCATAATAAGGATTACTCCCTCCGTCCCTAAATAAACTTCCAACTTCCTTTTTCGTTCGTCCCAATTAAAACTTTCACTTTCCCTTTTTGGCAAGGAATTTGTGGTTCATAACAATTCTTACACATTTCTCTCTCCTCTGCACAACTCTCCACCACACAATACGTATCCACTATCTTAAACTGTGTGTCAAACCTATTTGGAAGATAAATTAGGGACATGGGGAGTAATATTTAGAGCCCGTTTGGTGACCCATTTTGTCGGTTTATCAGGCATATCAGTCAGTTTTTCACCAAAATGTAATTTTTGATTTCGCGCGCTGAATTATGTAATAATCAGAAAAAGTAAGATTGGAGTTACTTTTCTAGCTGTATTGGCTAAAGTTACTGTAGAGGATCATTTTAGCTATTTTTTATATAATTTTTTATTTTATTTATCAATAAAAAATATTTTAATTTTTTTTTTCATGAATCAGCAGATTCAGCCAATACAGCCACTTCAGCTAGAACTTCATAAATTTCAGCAGAATCAGCCAATTCAACCAATTTTAGTGTTACCAAACGGGCTGTTAGTATGCATAATTTAAACATGCATACCGGCCTCTTAGGTATAATAATGGATGTAAGTATATAGGGTGGAGCTCATATTATACATGCACTTCATTAAGTATATATAGTAGGAAATTTGAAGAACATTTTGCGATACCTCAACTAATTAAAGAAAGGAAGAAAAATATAGGATGGAGCTCATATTATACATGCACTTCATTAAGTATGTATAGTAGGAAATTTGAAGAACATTTTGCGATACCTCAACTAATTAAAGAAAGGAAGAAAAATATTAGGATGGAGGATGCTTGTAAGGTGTTAGAGACTGTATAACCAATCTCTATCCGTTGATCCAACTATCAAGTTTTCCGTACAATTCCGTACAAGTGGGCCGTACGGATTCCGTACAATTGGGCCGTACAGATTTTATTTTTTCTTTTTTCGGCTGAGCCTCCCAATTGGATTAGGGGTAGGTTTTACTCACTATAAATACAAGCTCTCCCCCATTGTAATCTCTTAGATCCGAAAATAGCAATAATATTTCTGGCTTGGTAGCGCCTCCAGACGTAGTCATTCGTGGCGAACTGGGTTACCAAATTTCGTGTGTTTTTCGTGTGAGTTAAATTCCTAACAATACTATGAGTCACGTACTCATTAAAAATTCTTTCGATACTTTTAAAAATCACTTTTATCATTGCTCTAATTAAGATGACAAAACAAATAAAACATACAGTATTAAAATTCAAAGGGAGATTTAAATTTGAAGTCACACCCTCTTTTGTTCCTTCTTTGCATTTTTAGGAGTGTGTAGTCCTGACCATTTTGACTCGCTATATATCCATGGAACGTGAAGCCAATGACAACTCACAATTGAACCTCATACTTTTGTGTTCGTATTAATTGGTTTATTTTGGACTCTTGCATACAATTTCAATGAAAGAGAATGAGCCTTTGACTAAATTAACTTCCTAAATCCTAATGTTTTTTGTTTTCTTCCTACTAGTTTTCTACATCAACAACCCTTATAATTTCCATAAACGGTCAAAGACTTATTCTCCATAGTTTTTATATAATACCTTTTTAAAATTATAATCACATGAAGTAGGCAAACTATACTGATGCCCGTACATGATGCTCTTCGGCATGCCTTCCAAATATTCTCTCCCTCATGTAAAATTTGACTCGATTATAGTTAAGTAATTAACTTGTACATGACATAATAAAGTTAAAATTTAATAATTAAAATTTGTGTAGATGAGACCTAGATAAATAACTTTGACTGCATATTTTTTTATGTGGAAATGACAATGTTTTTTTTAAGAAACATGACAAAGTTTTGTGTAAGTTTCAACAAAGAAAGCTGAAAAAGATTTGTGAGATGGGGGTATATATATTACCAAAGGTTGTTAGCAACTAAAATTATCTCCAATGCAGGGATGTGCATGTTTTTCATGTCTCATGAGTGAGATAGATAATAGACACGTTAAAATAAACCAATGAAATTTTTCTTTCCTTCTTTCAACTGTTTTCTATATGTTAGTTACTCTTTAATTTATTAACAATTTCAATCACAATATCTACATCTAGACATTGTGAAGAAAATTTTACCAAAAATAAAAAACACATTAAAATAAGGAGACAGATATACCTATCGATCAATTTTATGTGTTAACATGCATGTTTACCTTTCACATTTTTACACTGAAGATACGTACTCTAATATTCGATTCACTTGTAAATGTGTATTTGTAAGTAGTGTAATTCACTTTTTAGTACCTACTATATTTGAATTTGTATTTTTATATATGTATGTCACAAAATATACGGAGTATTAAACTTGCATTCTCACCAAACAAATACTCCGTAGCATTTGTATCAACAAACATATAATGTCTAGTTATTTACACCGTCAGATATATTTTCAACATTAGTGCCATCGTCTACGTACAATGTTTTATGTCAAACTTTACACATTATAAATCATTTAAATCAATAGACGCATAACAATATATTTGCATTTTTGTACACAGATACACCAAACAACCTCATTTTTGTGCATGTAGTTAAACCAAGCATATGTCATTCAAATCAACGAGTCACTACATGTAACATTATATAGAGTATAGACAGTAATATGTCACTTTTTTACATCTAACATAAACTATTTACATCAATATACATGCAATCCAACATTAACATTTGTTTTGAAACGTACATACCTCTTCGATAACACGTATTACCACTTGAACAAAATATTTCTACAATCTTACATTTCGTACGGTACGAAGTAACCATTAATATAAAAACAAACCATCACTCACTATATACAAAAATAACAATGAGGCTGCATCAAGTAAAAATGGTTAATTTTTCATTGTTTTTATAAACCTTCTCAACGAATTCCCCATATATATGTGTGTAACAAAATAGAAATAGAAATTGAAGGAATCATATGGAGAAACAGAGAAAATAGAATAGCTTAGTTGAAAAAATGATGAATATCTATAAAATATTTCCAAATAGAGAGCAAATGAAGAAACCATTTATCCGGAAATGTGTTCTTGTTTTCCATATCCATATGAACTTTTCCTTTCAAAATATAATCATCACCAAATTAAACGAGCTCTAATTATATTGAATGAGAAAATATATGAAGTTCGACGACGTGCTTACTATAGAGCACGTTGGCCTGATCAATGACCAAGATTTTCTAAATATGTTAAATGAGTGCATCTTGATCATTTATCACACCAATGTGCTCCGAAATGAGCATGTTAGCATGTTCCATATATTTTCTCCTAATTGAATGCCTCTTCATAATCACTGAATAAGGTGATAGTAGATTTATTTGGCAGTTGCGTGATGAAATCGTCCGCCCACAACTACTCTCACTAACTCATACTCAATCCATCTCTAATTGAATGTCTTGTCTTATTAAAAAAATCATAATTTTTATTTGATTATATTTCATTTTTGCTATTGTTTACATCATTTTGACCTTTCTTTTACGGGCAGTGACTGAACTTTTGGAAGGTGACTCCTCAAGGAAAATAGTGGAGATTATATGCCGGTCGAGCTGGTTGGAAAAATCCAGTGGCAGCCGTAATGGCATTGAGAGAGTTTTGAAAGTTCACAACACACAGAAAACTGTAGCAAGGTTTGAAGAATACAGGGAGATGGTGAAGGCAAGGGCCGGAAAACTGGCGAAGAGGCACCCGAGGTGCCTCGCCGATGGGAATGAGCTCTTAAGGTTCTACGGGACCACCGTGGCATGCTCTCTCGGCGACAGCGGTGGACCCTGCACCCTCTGCACCTCCGACAAATGCCACGTCTGCCAAGTCATCAGAAATGGCGGCCTCTCCATCAAAGACAGTGGGGTCGGAGGAGGCGTGTTCACCACTTCCACAAGCGCCAGAGCATTAGAATCCATACAACTCTCTGCTGCTGCAGCTGCGGATGGAGGAGGAGGAGAAGAAGAAGACAGTAATCCACCACCATTGTACCAAAGGAAAGCTGCTTTGATAGTGTGCAGGGTCATAGCTGGTAGAGTGCATAGGCCTCTGGAGAATATCCAAGAAATGGCGGGTCAGACTGGTTTTGATTCCTTGGCCGGGAAAGTTGGTCTCCATTCCAATATAGAGGAACTTTATTTGCTTAATCCTAGAGCTCTGCTCCCCTGTTTTGTGGTCATCTGCAAATCCTACTCCCCATTTTCTCTTTATTAACACTACAAACCCAACGTAAATGATAGTAGTATCTAACTTTCTTTTTATTTTCTCAGAGCTTAGTACTTCAATTAGCTTCTGCAATTCTGCAAATGACAATTGTACTCGTTTATTTGCATCTTTTCACACATTAATTAGGTCGACTTGTGGTCCCAAACTCTCAGGTAATCAATGCCTGTCAAATTCAACATTTCAACCCAACCCAACCCATTGTACATTTATCAAAAAAGTAATGGGGCCTGGACCCCGCCCGAGCGGGCCGGTCCACCGTTTTTGGATCCCGTAGCCCACTTGTTGAGTTCGTCGGTTCGGGCCCCAGTCATGGTCTCGGGTCGTCGGGTCGGGCCTGCACAGTGTCAGGCTGAACCGGGTTCCAGGTCGGGTCGAGCCGTCTCGGTCCACCCCTAGTTACTTGTTACAAATTGGGAGATATACTTACACGAGTAGATTTATGGAACCCCATATGACTCCCTTATGGAGTCATATGGGGTATTGTGGCACCACCATCACCATTCATTTTTTTAGTGGGGGACCCTACTAAAAAATGAATGGTGATGGTGGTGCCACAATACCCCATATGACTCCATAAGCAGGGGCGGAGCTAGGGGGTGCCCAGGCTAGGCCCTGGCCCACCCCAAATCTGAAAAATGTCAATATTTTTAGTGTAAAAAAATTCGTGTAAATTTTTTTCCAATAATATTCTTTGTACCGGCCCAGTCTAGCCCAGTGTCCTGGCTACGCCCCTGTCCATAAGGGAGTCATATGGGGCTCCTTAAAATTTTTGATACTTACACCCCAACCTAGGCAATGCTTTCATTTCTACATCATCAGGTGTAAATCACTAGCGATCAATTGGAGCTGAGAAAGATGAAGGGTGAATGGCAATGATGAAGGTACCATATCATGATTAGATCCCACCATTAAATTATACTGAAAACGCAAAGAGAAATAAGTAACACAAATAGTAATTAATCATAGAGAATAAAATTTCACCTGTATATCATATGCGGATAAAGAATCGCACGACATATATGGAAGGTCTCGGGGAGGGACACACATGGTATTGCATACAAAGTTAACAATATAAAGACAATAGGCTGATAGCCACGCGAATTATACAATTGTGGAGCACAATGTTATAAGCAGTGTACAAGTGCATATAACAATAGTGTACAATTGCTGAAACCAACATTTTTTAATACCCTAAACTCTCTTACCTCAGCTCACTATTATGAAGTATTAAGATATGTGTGAGCTTCCTCTTTCCAGACCAAAATATTCAAATGCTGTCAAAATAACTACATATTCTTCATCTACGATATTATCACAGATGCAAGTTTGATGTTGTATTCTTTCTCTTGTAAGAAAATGAAATATTCTTTTCAACTCTAATATACAAAAATCCATTTTTTAGTTTATACTACAACTCCAATACTTTGTACTTCGTATTAAACAAAAAAGAGTTTAATACTGCACTCGGTATAGAAAATGTGAAGTCATGATCCAAGATTGGTGAAAATGTGTCATTCATTTTAATCCTTCTACCCAACCTCTCTTACTGTCATAATTTAGACCACTATAAAACACTAGTAACATTTTTCTAAAGAAAGAACACATTTTTTTACAATAGTTAACAAAAGTGAAAGAAAAAACTGAACACTGTGTACTCGTCCACAGAGTACTATTGAGAGCAAATAGTTGGTTCGTAGCAACTAGCCAACTATTTGTTACCTTTCAATTAAAATCATCAACATCATAAATCTTCTATGCATTATCTGTATTTATTCCCAAGAATAGATATATTGATCTGCTTCAACGATCCCAATAATAGTTGAGTTTTTTTCTTTCCTATTTTTCTATTTTTTCTCTAGACAAAAAGCTTATACAACATTGCCACACGTTTTATGAATGACAGACTCAGTGCCAAACAGATGTAGAGATGAGGTCTCACTCCTTCCATCCCGATAGCATAGCCCAATCATTCTCAACAATTGTGTAATGCTCAGAGTAACACTTGAGGAGGCCCTTTAAGACTGAACTGATGTAGGAGCTGAGAGGGTACTATTGAAACCCGGCCATGCTGAACCTTAATTTCCACTTCCCCAACATCTCATGCCACTCCACCCTCTCCTTCCCCTCGCAAGCAATCATGTGCACTTAGTCTCTTTCCAGGCAGTGCTGCTCCACATTGATACGCTCCTTCCTATTCCTTGCCAGGAGTCAGGACAACATCCAGTGATTCGAACATGGATGAGTAAAAGTCAAGGGCTTCTCTGAACCACGGGAAAAAGGGCGCTGTATTGGTGTTCAATTCCTGCTCCACCAAAGTAACCACTTGGGGGACAGCGATTTCACCAACCTCAAAAGCCCGACCAGTCATCCTTGTCTGCTACTTGCTATTCTGCTAGTTGAATCCTTTGAGAGGATCAATCGTCCAGAGGAAAAGGCTAAAGCGAAGCGTGTCTTCGAGTAGAAAAGACCGAAGAGATTAATAGAGGAAGCAAAAGGATCCGACCTTGGGAACCGATTCCATAATTGGGAATTCAGGATTAATATTAATGTTGTCTCGGCTTTTGTGTGTGGAAGGTAGATCCGTAGAGTCCGATCGTCTCTCGCGTTAGTCACGTGTGAGTGTCTGCCGCTCTCGCTCAATCAGTCTACTGAATATTAGAGTATGAGTAATTTAGTACGGTGTACTATATATTGGGACAAGAGGATGTGACACGGTTATTAAGAAAAGTGAGTTTATGTGGTTGATATTGAATTGATAAAGTAAGAATGTGATAGTAAATAGCGACAAAGACCACAAGATAGTATGTAATTTGGATCACTGAAAGTCTGAAATTACACACACAGTATATACGCACACCAATATCAAAAGAAACGTAAGATGAAAGTGCTGGTTGAGACCAATTCGAGAGGGTCTCTCTCTCCTACCAAGTTCTGTCCACGTCCAAAACTCCCACCCACTCCCTCTTCAGTTACGCTTTATGCACTGCGTTGATATTGCTTCCACGATCTGTTTCTGCTTCTCCACGATTTTCTGCTAGTAAATTCCCTCTTTTACCCTTGCGGATATAAACCTTTGAAAAATCCCTGTTGGGATTAATTTGGTACTTATCTGGGCTCGTATCATCACCCTCCCCTTCAAAACTCACCTTGTCCTCAAGGTGAAATTCTGGAAACATGGACTGGAACTGCTGCAATTCCTCCCAAGAGTCTTCGAATTGAGGCAAATCCTTCCAATGTACTAAGATCTCCCGGTGTCCAGTAGGTGTCATCCTAGCATCCACCACTCTCTCTATCTGAGTTTGGAGTTCCCATTCCTCTGACAAACAACTTGGTAGACGCTGGCTAGGAATGTTGGGCGCCACAGTTTTCTTTAGTAGTGAAACATGGAAAACGGGATGCACCACACAACCTTCTGGCAGTTTTAACCTATAAGCCACAGGATTTATCTTTTCTATCACTTCAAATGGCCCATAAAACCTGGGGCTTAACTTCTGGTTCCTTCGCTTTGCTAAACTCTTCAGCTTATAAGGCTGTATTTTCAGAAATACCTTGTCTCCAAGTTCTAGTTGTACTTCCCTCCTATGCTTGTCTGCTTGTTGCTTCATCCTGTTTTGTGCCCTTGCCAAATTCTGCTGCAGTTCTTTAATCATGTCATTTCGCTCAGCTGTGAGTTTGGTAACTTCCTCCACAGTGGAAAGGGTAGCATCTCCTCTGAATAAAGTTGGTGGGTCTTGTCCATATAAAGCCTTAAAAGGGGAAGTCTTCAACGAGGCGTGGTAATTAGTATTATACCAATACTCTGCCCATGGTAGCCATCTTGGCCAGTGTTTTGGTTTTGTCCCAGAGAGGCACCTCAAATAGGTTTCCACACATCTATTTACCACTTCCGTCTGCCCATCCGTCTGGGGATGATTGGCAGTACTATATTTTAGTTTAGTACCTGCCAACCTGAAAAGCTCTGACCAAAATGAACTTAAAAACACACTATCCCGGTCTGAAACTATGGTCTTTGGAAATCCATGCAATTTAACAACTTCCTGGATGAATATCTCTGCCACTCCTTTAGCCGTATATGGGTGAGCTAACGCAATAAAATGAGCAAATTTTGTTAACCTGTCGACCACTACAAGTATAATATCCTTTCCCATTGCCCTTGGAAGGCCTCCTATAAAATCTAGGCTAATGTCAGCCCAAACGTGAGTTGGAATAGGCAGGGGTTGCAATAACCCAGCAGGGCTTAATGTTTGGTACTTATTTCTTTGGCAAACCTCACAACTGCACACATAATTCTGGATTTCCGACCTCATCCCATCCCAATAGAGCACACTGGCTATTCTCTTTAAAGTTCTGACATATCCCGAATGTCCACCACTGGCTGAATCATGAAATTCTGTCAGTACCTTAGTAATACGAGGAGATCCCTTGGGCAACATGAGTCTGTCTTTGTAATAAAGTAATCCCCTTTTTAACTTGAAACCTGGATGTGAATTTGGCTGGACTAACAGATCTTGGATGAGCTGATTGCATCGTTTATCTTGCAACAATTCTTCTTCTAGCCCCTCCCATTCTTGACAACTTACAACTGATAAAGCTTGGTAATTTCCCTTTCTGGACAAGGCATCTGCAGCCTTATTTTCCAACCCCGGCTTGTATTTGATAACAAAATTGTAGCCCATGAGTTTAGCCACCCATTTTTGTTGTTCTTCACTCATAAGCCTTTGTTCTGTCAGGAATTTCAGACTCTTCTGATCGGTATGGATTTCAAAACTCCTGCCCATTAAATATGGTCGCCACTTTTGAACCGCCACCACAATTGCAAGCAGTTCCCTTTCATAAACGGATTTGTTTTGATTTCTTGTAGAAAGGACCTTACTCATGTAGGCTATATGTCTACCACCTTGCATTAATACTGCCCCAATGCCTTGGCCAGAAGCATCCGTTTCAACGATAAAAGGTTGGTTAAAATTAGGGTTTGCTAACACCGGTAGTTGAGTCATAACCTGTTTCAGCTTCTCAAATGCAATTTTGGCCTCCTCTGTCCAGTGAAACCCATCTTTCTTGAGTAAATCAGTGAGTGGTTTGGCAATCTTGCTATAACCTTGTACAAACCTCCGGTAATAACCCGTCAAACCAAGAA